CGCACACACACACACACACACACACACACACACACACACACACACACTCACAACGGCGTCACCTCCAAAGCTTTACTTATCCGACTATGAACCTGTTCCTTCAACAAACCGATATCCGGTTTGGGAGAATCGGATCTGGTGGGAGAGGGAGAGTTCCGGTGTTCGGTGTTCTTCATCTTAGCAGTGGCGTAAACTTTTGGCGAGTCCAGTTTCTCGTCTGCCGTGTTGAGCTTCTCAAGTCCAGGCCGGATGACTGTCAGAATATTTGACGTCATATCCAGAGGCCGGATCTGATGGGCGTTGTCATGGTGATGATTCTGCGCACTCACACTCACGTTATTGGCTTCCGGTCCTTTCGGGTTTTTGAAGAGGTACTCCAGAGGGTTTGCAGACACGTCGAAATCCACGGAGTTCTTGACCCTTCTCGTTGACCTCCGCTTTCCGTCCACCTCAAAGGCTGCGTGCTTCTCTTCCGAACTTTGAGATTTGAGCCTGGGTTTTTTCAGAATCCCGCCAGCAGGAGGAAGATGCGTCTGCTCCCCTCTAGAGCGAGGGGACTCGAGCTCCACATTTCTTCTCGGCGTCTCGTCGAGCGCACAGCTTTGAGAAAAGCCGCCGTTGTCGATTCCGGAAGTGACGTTATACTCCCCAAGACCGTCTGACTCCGGAAGTACTAACATAGCCTCTTCACCGTCCCCTCCGTCTGCTGCTAGGCCTAGCACAACAACACTCGCCACGCCGTCTGCTATCATCACGTGATCACCACCACCAAGCGTGACGTCACCACAATTTGAGGAAATACACAAGCTGGAATGATCGCACGACGGCTGTCTGCCGGGAATCGTTTTCACTCCGAACTTGACAGAATCGATCTCGTTTGTGGCCCCTGTGCGCAAAGGTCTGCAATTGGTTCGATGACACGCCGTCCTTTCTCTGCTGGCTGAAGAGTTCTTGTTCCCCTCCGTGCAAGATGGCCGCACCTCGTTGTAGTCGGCTGGGTTTGGCAGCGTCTTGTGGAAGCCGTCGCGACCCACCAGGAAGTAGGTCTGCATCAGACCTTTACCCTTGACCTCGATCTCTCCTCGATACTCCAGGTGGTATCCGCAGAAGTTCTGGAGGCTCTCTTTGGACATTGAGCTCATGTGGATCCGGAGAGCTGAAGGAAACGGACGGAAAGTGAATTGTCGTTACCATCATCATCATCATCATCATCATCATCATCATCATCATCATCATCATCATCATCATCATCATCATCATCATCGTTTAAAAAACAGAGTAGGA